CGTACTGAAAGCATCAGTCAGCATGGTGGAAGGATCAGTCAGCTTTAGGAGGACGTTAGGAGAACGTTCTGGAAGTTTCCTTAGAATTTAGTATATATAGAGCGAGGGGAATGCTGTAGGATTCCCCATCGCAAACACCTGTTTGTAATCTAGTGCCTCCAAATTCACTCTCTTCTCTATTCATTCTCAAGTGCAATCCATAGCCATCAGTAAGTACCCCTGGTTGGCACCCTTAGCACAAGTAGTGCCTATCAGAGTCTAGCAAGGAGCTGACTCTCTACAATTCTTCACCAACTATGGCTATCATCCAATGTTCACATTGTTACTGACAGTATTGCAGTCATCACCAGCAGCAGGAGAAATGGTGATATGGCTGGCAAAGGTGCAGGAAGAACTGAAGGCAGCAATGAGGATGGCCCAGGAACAACATGCATGTGCTTATGATCAAGATCACAGAGACATGCTGGCATTCAAAGTAGGAGAGGAGGTGTAGCTGGAGGTCACACACATCACAACAGACCACCCCTCAATGAAATTAGCAGCCAAACAACTTGGGCCATACCTGATCACAGAAATCATCTTGTCACACACATATCATCTCAAACTCCCTACAACAATGAAGACCCACAACATGTTCCACATTGCCCTCCTCATGAAGGTCAAAAAGGACACAATTGAAGGACATGAAGTTGACCCACCACCACCTGTGGTTGTCAACAGCAAGGAGCATTACAAAGTGGAGAAGGTCCTCAACTTGTGATGGCAAGGGAAGTAACTGCAGTACCTCATCAAATGGGTAGATTATGGTGAGGAAGAGAACTTGTGGGAGCTGGCAGAATACCTGGCAAACAGTGCATTTGCAGTATCAGAGTATCATTGGTTGTACCCTGGAGTGGAATCACCAACCAACTGACCACTTCCACATTGGTGTCATACCCATCATGATGACTGATTGCTCCTCTACAACACCTTAAGAGGGGGCTGATATCATGACCATTGTGGAAGTGACTTAAGGAGTGGAGCAGAGATATGGAGTTGTGCCTAGGAAGGCACAAGTAGCAACTCAGAGAGTAGCACTGATGGGTCCTGGGGACATGCAGTCTCATTGTTCTATTCCATTCTATTCTATGTTGCTGACTGATTGTTCCATGGTGCTTAGTGATATGTGTTCTGCTTACCATATGATATTGGTCATGATTGTAGGAATGCTTAAGTAGCAGTGAAGTGAGGGGTTTGTTCCTCACTTTGCCTATTGTATATTCCATTCTCTTATACTCTCACCCAGAACTCCTCATATGTGTACACTTGGAGTATGCCCTACAACCAAAGTCATGACAACCACCCTGTGGTTGACAGAAGCCAGATGAAGAGTGACTTACAACATCCTCTGCTGTGCTCCAAAGACATGACTTGGAGCTAAGTTGTGACATCTCCCTGCCTGAGCCAAACATACACTGAGTTGTCAGACTCAGTGTGCTTGAAGCCCATGCCTGCAAGTGCCTCATCCAGGTGCTCATACCACAATCTTCCACCCTGCTTCAATCCATGTAGGCCCTTCTTGAGGTGCAGAACCCACTCAGGCCCATGATCTCTGAATCCCTCCACCTGCTTCATGTAGACCTGGTGCTCATCAGGCATGATGCCATTAAGATAGGCAGTGGAGATGTCCACAGAGTCAAGCTCAAGGTCCTCATGTGCTGAAATAGCAAGAATGGTACCTGTTACTCTCTCCTGATTCATGTTTAATTCTGTCAAAGGTTCAAAGCATTAGAAGCCAATGCACCTACATGCTCCAGAGGTGCTGCAAAGATTAGTGGAAACTCAGCCCCATGACTGATCCACTGCACCATGCTGATCACACTCTTTGATGTCCAGTTTTGGCATCTTCAATGCAATCTAAATCTGGTTCCATTGTGCAGGCATTGCAATCCTACCAGGAGTGTTGGCTTTATATAAGCACTTGCTTGATAAGATGACAAACATCATATTTTAACAAGGAACTGTTCCATTGTTCCTGGCTTATGGCAAGTTTGTCTTGCTATGGGATACCATGTAGAGACCCAATTGCAGTGTCTGAGGCATGTCATGTTCTCCTCAAGCATATTCTTAACAATCAATACTTTGAGTGCAATCAATTTGAAGCTCTTTCTGTACCATCCTTGACAGGCCTGGCATAGCTAATGTGTTATAGGCTGATCCTTGTTGGCATATGAGTTGGAATACCCAGATGCCAACACCAATCATGACTTGCATGATTTGAAGAAAGCAGTGCAACCTGCACTCACAGCTTTTGCCTCCTCACACATATTGACACTTTGCTGTTGAGAGCCAATATCACCTCACTCAAGCTCAAGCAATACAATCTTGCCTTCAACAATGTTGATTTGTCCACCTCAAAAGACAAAATGGTATGTGAATGATCTTCTTAGCTTCTTGCACTACACAGATACACTATCCTCAAACTCTGCACCTCCTACTTACCAGATCATGGTGGTGGATTGGGATCCATGGATCTTGGATTGCTGTCTAATATCAGATCTGACTGCAAAGTGTTCTCTGTCATCCTTGTTATATGGTGGTTAGCAGTAGTGGTCTCTCAATACAATCTATGTGTATAAGAAAATGTGCCAGGCAGATAAATTATCGTGTGGGAAGTGGGCTCTGCCATGCTGGTGCGGCCCTATATATTGGCAGGATGTAGAATCAGGGCATATAAAACATGGCTTAACTTGGGCCCCATACCTTGCATGACGGATATTATCTGAACTGCTTAGCATGCGGCGGGAAAAATACTTGCCGCTTGCCCGGATCGAACGGGCGACCTTTCGATAACAATTCTGTATGACTGACTTCAGTCGAACGCTCTCCCAATTGAGCTAAAGCGGCTGAATATTGGTTGGTTATACCAACGCCTTTTGGTTGTTTAGGGGCCTTGAATATAGCTATGTAGCTGAGGATTGCTTTCCAAGGGAGCTTTTGCTGTAGCAATCAGTTCCTCACTGTGATCTGATCAGGGTTCCCCAACCCCCGGTCAAAATCTACTTCAGATGCCTTATGACAGTGTGCGCGCTTAAACTACTCCGTCCGCAGTGACGATGTGAGCTGGCTGGTTATGTGCACCCGATGTTTGCAATCGCCTGTGATCTGTATCTCTAAGGAAGCTGTCGCCTACTCATTGTCCGTCCTTGTGTTGAAGGATATCATAAACGCCGGTGACCTGCCGTGCGAAGCTTCAGGGCAGCGTTTTGATATTAACGGAACATTGACGGACAACAGCCATGCAAGACGCTCGGAGAGCAGACATCCAGGCCAAGAAGAACAAGTTAGAAGAACTCAGGAAGCTCAGAAAAGCACGAGAAGATGCGAAAAAGACGCCAGGGGTGAGTGCTTTGTTAATGTCGTGCCCACTGTCCTCCAAGCCCTCTCCCCTCTAGGCTTCTTCACCGATACCTATCCCTCAGAAGGAGATAGACGACATATTTAAGAACTTTTTGGGACATGGCCCCGTTGGAATTGGAGACACTTCACCATCCCGACCCTCATCACCGGCCATTAGTGGGCTTCCACTCCCGCCGTTTCTCGGAAGACCGAGCTTGGGCGCAAGCGGTAGCAGGATGAGTGATGTAAGCTCTGATGTACCTGCCGCAGACGGGTTAGTGAACACTTTATTCTTGACGTCAATCAGCGGGGCGACAATTACTGCCTTCTCTTAGACATGCGCTTTTACCCCCTTGGATAACTCCAGACTTAGTTGAAGTGGAACAGGAGCTCTTTGAGTTACCTCAGAAGGTTAGTGGATCGTGGCTAGCCCCCCGGATTTGTCTTTTAATATCAAGTTTGTTTGTAGCAAAAGGTGATATACAACAAGGAAGTGCAGACGGCTGAGATCGCCAAAGAACCCATCGGACCATCCGAAGACCAGATCAGACACCAGATTTTTCAAGAACAGGAAGCCGAGCGAGAGAGACTACGGCAAGAACATGAATTCGAGGAGCAAGCTCGCAGATTGGACAACGAAATCGAAAATGAGATTCGAGGCACGTACACATTACTCGCCTCCTTGCACTCTTGACACCAAATCCTGTCTTCGTCAAACCCAGAGCTGACAGAAGAGGAACGAACAAGTATCTTTATGGCACCAGACTTTCTGGACTTTGTCGAACATTCATCCAAAATTATCCAGCGGGCTTTGAGCGATGGTTATGACTATACGCGTGATTACAGCATTGGAGCAGAAGTGAACTCGTGAGTGAGAAAGCATTCTGAGTTCAAGCCTGTCCAAAGACTATACCATTTCTCCCTCTTTGACCACAATAGCGACGACTTGGAAGGCAAGCGCGTAAAACGCGTGTGCGTATTCTCCGACGAGCGTGTCACAAAGAATCGCTCCATAACCGACGTCGATTGGTCACAAAAAGTTTGGTCAACCCTCCATTAGTTGCACGACACCCCTGATAGTTTTGTTGATAGTATCCAGAACTCTCTGTGACCTCATACAATAAGAATCCTGCGGCTCTCAATGAACCAGACGGTATTGTGGCGGTTTGGAATCTGCATCTAGTCGAACGACCAGAGTTTGTCTTTCACTCTCAGGTAAGGAAAACAAAGCCTCCCTGTATCGCTACTGTGATAGGATACGCTGATCTTTTTCATCTTGGACAGTAGTCAGACGTGCTCTCTGTGTCGTTCTCGCCATTTCACCCCAACCTTGTGTTTGGTGGCTCGTATTCCGGCCAAATCCTGCTTTGGGACACGCGATCAAAGCATCTGCCCATTCTCAAGACACCCCTGTCTGCGGCTGGCCACACACATCCCGTGTACACAATGCAAATGGTTGGCACACAAAACGCGCACAACCTCATTACCGGTAGCACGGATGGAACGGTGTGTAGTTGGCTGATAGATATGCTGGCGCAGCCCCAGGTACGTTTATCAGATCCAAGGCGCCTGGGCAGCCATTAATGGCATGCTTGCATCGTCCAGGAAACGCTGGAACTTGTGCATACCGGGCACAACAAGACCGACGAAGTCTCCGTGACCGCTTTGAACTTCCCAGATAACGAAACGACAACGTTTTGGGTTGGGACAGAAGAGGGCAATGTCTATCAAGCGAACCGCTACGATCGGGCAGGCGCCAAAGCGGGCTTGAACCAGTACGACGTGTACAAGGGTCACGCGGGCCCAGTCACCGGCCTTAACTTTCATCCTTCAGTCGGACCAGTGGACTTCTCGGACCTCTTCCTCACTTGCTCCGTCGATTGGACCACAAAGCTTTGGCGGACAAAGAGCGCAGCCAAGCCTTCCACGTCTGCGCATACCATCTCACCGCTCTATTCGTTCGAGGAGGCGGATGATTATGTGTACGATGTTAAGTGGCACCCTTCCCACCCCGCCATGTTCGGTTCTGTTGACGGCTCAGGAAGGTTTGATCTATGGAATCTCAACGCGGACGCCGAGGTATGCTACATCGGCAGCTTCGTGGTAGGAGTATTCTATGGCTAACGATTGGCTGTTGTGCCACAGATTCCCCTCGTGTCTACGATTATTGGCGGTGGGAAAGCGATCAATAAGCTGGCTTGGGAAGGCAAAGAGGGTCGTCGTGTCGGTCTAGGCACCAGTGACGGGAAGTTTTATGTGTATGACATTGGGGACATGGCCGCCCCACGTGAGTCGGAGTGGATAGACCTTCAAAGATCACTGGCAACCTTGGAGCTGGGAGCCAATAGGAGGAACAAGTAGCCTAGCCAATAGTCGACATTTTATTTGGTGACCCCATGATCGCGAGATCCAGATCAAACCAGGAATCAAGATTGAGTCGATTCCCATTAGGCAAAGCATTTCTAGATCATGTAACATCTGATTACTGTTGAGCGTATGTGAAGTTAAAATAGCCAATGCAACGCGCCCATGTGAGGATCGGTCGTGTTGAGTTTGCAGTTGTACAGTGAAATAAGAGACGAGATAAATAGAGACGAGAAGATCCAAAGCTGTAAAGCGAGAATGAAGGAGGGCTAGATGGTTAAATGTGGTGACTTGCTGATATAGACCCCGACAGCTTTAGATGGCCATCTCGCAATCGAATTTGTTATCGGGAACGCTAAAGCTCTGCTAAACAATTAACACCTCCAGAACGCCAAGAATGCCATTACCAAAACAATTTGATAAGCGATTACGTGCCATATTGGAACAGATCATTGAAGAATTAGTCCAGAGTGCCGAAATATGTGCGCAAGACTGTGAGCGAATTGAGTTGATCGGCTCTTGTAGCACGATGACGGAGAAACGCGTAGCGTGTCGACAAGAACCGAACGCAATGAAAAACGACCGAAAAACCCCAACCACAAACATAAAATTATCCGATACCATGACAGATTCTATGCACATCGCAGAAAAGTGAATGAAGAAAATAAGAAGATGTCGAGATGCAAGGAGGATATCGTAAGAAAGATTTTGGAGACGTGGCACACAGGGGTATCAATGCCCAAGAGCATTAAGGCGGTTGCGGATGGTTGAACATATCCTGCTCTCGCTTTTTCAACCTGCGACGTTCATCGGCACCGTGGAGGAATTGCCTAAGACTAGCTTCTTTCACCGGCTTGGTGAGAACGCTACAGTAACCCAAAAAAGGAATTGTGAGTTCTCAACACAACACATCGAGCATAGCACTCACGCATCTACTCCGGCGTCCAAATATTCGGCTTGATCTTCCTTCAGTGCATTCCCAGTCACACCCACCACATATTCTATCCTCTGAAGACCCCTAAGCCTTTTTACCATCTCCACTCCGCTCATGATTGGCATCTGATTATCCAAGAATACTACATCGTATTTCGGCTCCCTCTCTGATAGATAAGGTGTCTGTACTCGTTGGGGCCCTTCCCCAGGTGGCACTGGTGCGAATGTGAACGGATTTTTGACTTGACATATCATGTCTAAAGCCATCTTGCCATTCTCTGCCAACTCCACCGTACATCCTATTCGCGTCAACATCCTTGACATCAGCTTCCGAGTCAAGCCATCATCATCCACGACTAAGACACTAAGAGGCGGATCGAACGCTGGAGAAGATCCAGAGAGAGGTGGCGACGTTGGTTTTGATGACAGGATAGGTGCTGAAAGTATTGGTGGCAGTGGTGCCCCCTCAACGGGTGGTGGTGGCGAGGGTGATATTGGACGCACCGGTGCTTCAGGTGGGAGAGAAACGGGCAAGACAACCTGTAGCTCTTTCGTTGGCGTATCTGTTACCGGTTCCAGATTAAGCAGGCCAGTCTTGAGCGTCCCCGGCGGGCCAATGGTCTTCGCCGAAGCTGGGAGAGGCGAAGAAACGGCAGGGAGTGGAGGAGAGCCTTCCGAAAACCTTGAAGCCGACGTCCCAGTCGATGCATACGTAGATGCAAATGACGTTTGCTGTGCAGGAAGAGGCAGGCGCTGCGACCTGTGCTGCGCAGATCCGGACATCCTTTTCGTCCCGTGGGAAAAGTTGACTTGACGATTGCTGATCCCGTTGTCGTTGATATTGCTCTGATGTAAGCTAAGCACTGAGCTATCGGCAATATACTCTGGCATCCTGAGGATGTCGATATTTCCGGAATGTTCCATCAGTTGCCGCATGGCGTTGGTGGACGTCGAAGCGGGCGGTGATGGACGTGCAGGAGACGGAAAGGAAGTCTCGAGTGGCGATGTGTCCGGGGATGACGAGCTGGACGGGGTCGCACCATCTTTTTCAGAAGCATTGAATGTTTGAGCAACCCGATCTGCCTTGTCACTGCTATCGCATCGGTCCACCACTTTATGCCCAACACCGACTGGAAGCTCAACCCAGAACGTAGACCCGGCATCACGCCTACTCTTCACGCCCAGCCTGAGCGACGAGACTGGTCAATTCG